TTTATATTATCAGTAAAGTTTCCAGTCAAGAGTATGCTATTAGTAGTTAAGTTCTGGAGAGTCAAAAGTTACATACAGATTTCTGACTGCATGTGGTGTGGTAGGGTGCTCCAATGCCCCACATTGTTCAAGGGTAAACTATATAACCATTTCTAGATGTAACTGAAGGATCTTAAAGTGGAAAACGTTAGTCTAATCATATCTCTGATCTATAATCCAAAATAATCTGATTCTTATTTTTACAGAATTGTCATGATCACACATAATTTAAAACAGAGGAATAAATATTAACTTTTAGCCTTAGATTATGTTCTCTTTACTAGATTTACTAATTTTAACAAAACCCACCTACTTGCTTTAGAAAACAGGTATGGCTAAACTCATCTCAAATTTGTCTTCAGTAAGGCAGTTTCTTATAAAACTTATGTACTGTTTTAAAATATTACAATTTAAGTGCTTTAAATATATATTACATTTGTAATGGTTTAAGCTGTGGCATAATGCAAAAGAGATACTTTGCTACAATTCACTGTTGATTATATACTATCTTGATTAAGTTAAAGAATGGATAATTTCCTTGAGTTTGCATTCTACTCAGATCGGTGAAAAATCTTTAAGATTATTCTATGATATAACAATGGGAAAAAGTCTAAGGGGACAAGTAATGATCTGGGAATCAAGAAAAATCTAATTCAGGTGATTAAGCTCTGGGCAAATCTTTTTGTGCCAATAGCTCCAGAAATACTATACTGTTAGAGCTAAAAGAGGCCTTGGCAGGCATCTGTCGAATTTCATTTCTCCTTAAGAAAAGCTAGGGGTAGAGTAGTGTATCATTTCCTCTTTTCCTTCAGGTAATTAAAGAAATGACATAACATGCTGTCTGGTAGAGGAGTGGGAGTTGGTGGCTGCAGCCTTTGGGCTGGGATGAATCGCGCTCTGGCAAAAGGCCGGGGAGCCGAGCCAGAGCCATGGCCAGTACAGTGGTAGTAGTTGGATTGACCATTGCTGCTGCAGGATTTGCAGGCCGTTATGTTTTGCAAGCCATGAAACATATGGCGCCGCAAGTAAAACAAGTTTTTCAGAGTCTACCAAAATCTCCCTATGCCAATAAAGGAAAAATAAGAGATGTTCATCAACGAATTATGCTTTTAAACCACCCAGACAAGGGAGGATCTCCTTATATAGCAGCCAAAATCAATGAAGCTAAAGATTTACTAGAAGGTCAAGCTAAACAATGAAGTAAATGTGTGATGAATTTTAAGTTCTTGTTAGTTTATGTATACAAGTGCTAGCTTTTTATAATAAAATGCCTCAAAGCTACAAATTTTAAAAATGATTTAGCACAAACTAAAAAAAAAAATGACATAACAATTACAGATATTTGTATATTATTTTACAGTTTAGAAAATGCTTCTTCATTCATTGTCTTCAACTACTGATCCTCACAGTAGTTTTGAGTAGTAGTGGTAGGCAGAGCAGTCACTATTACCTGTATTTATTTTATAATGGATTTTCTATTTATCTATTTCACGATAGATAAAACTGAGCCTCAGAGAAACTAAACAAATTTTTTCCCAATTTGGCATGGCTGGTGGGGCAAATAGACAATTTGAACCTAAGTTGTCTAGTCTTGCCACCACTCATGATGCCTCCTTATTGAAGAGACATAAATGAGAATATAACTTATATTCTTTGAATGAAATATGATATAAATTCAATGCCACATAACATTACTGTTTTAGAACTCTACTTGATATAATACAAAATAGTACTACTGTATGTTGTTTTAACTAATGGTAAAACATAAAGCTTCCAATTATCTTGAGTGTTTTTTGAAACTTTTTTATCAACATACAAATTTCATAATACCTTGGTTTGACATTTTTTTATAAAATCTCAAATACTTGATTTTTTTATTAATATTTAGCAAAAGAACATAGAAGAGCACCAATGTTTATCTACAAACCACAGAGCAAAAAAGTTTTTGAGGGAGACTCAGTGAAGCTAGAATGCCAAATCTCAGCTGTACCTCCACCAAAGCTTTTCTGGAAAAGAAATAATGAAATGGTACAATTCAACACTGATCGAATAAGGTAGGATAAGTATTTTTAGACATAACTGTAGTTTATTTGGGTGAATCCAGTCGTACTTGAAATGCATTATAAATGGCATGTGTTTGTAATCTCACCTTCTCTAGTTTTTAAAACATGTATAGAAACACAATAAACCTCATTAACCCCAATTCCACTAATCGAAAATTTAAGGCATTAAGCTAGGATTTACCTTTTTACTAACAATAAAGAAAGATGGCTCAAGGAAATGATGACACAAAATTAAAGGGGAGGAATTAAACTCAATAAAACCAATAGCTATTTGGCATTAACTAGGTACAGTCTCGGAATTTCCAAATGCTTCGTTTTCTTACAGTCTGACCCTCTGAGTCAGAGGCATCATAAAGTTTCACAGGAAAATTAATACCTGCCCTTCATTTTTTTATTATTGTTTCTTTTCAGTTTGTATCATGATAACTCTGGAAGAGTTACTTTACTGATAAAAGATGTAAACAAGAAAGATGCTGGGTGGTATACTGTGTCTGCAGTTAATGAAGCTGGAGTGACGACATGTAACACAAGATTAGATGTTGCAGGTATGTCACGCTATCAACCCAAGGACTTAATCAGAAAGATTTAGTAAGAAACACAAATCCCAGCATAATATAAAAATAATCAGTTCTGACTTTTTTTTTTCCTGTCTGATACTAAATACCTAGAGCAACCCATTTGTTTAGAACAGGTTTTCTGAATTAATCTCTTTTTGATCTATTTCAGTCCGTCAAAACCAAACTCTTCCAGCTCCTAAGCTGTTACGTGTTCGACCAACTTTCAGCAAATACTTAGCACTTAATGGTAAAGGTCTGGATGTGAAACAAGCTTTTAACCCTGAAGGAGAATTTCAGCGTCTGGCAGCTCAATCTGGACTTTATGAAAGTGAAGAACTTTAATGAGGTTACCAACACTGAAAAACACAACTACATTATTAGTAATATATTCAATTAAATTTTTAAAATAAATCCATAGCTGTATTAACAGATTATGGCTTTAATTAGGTAATATAACTAATACATATTTATAATATTTATCCTTTGACTCTTGCACATTCTGTCTTCTCTGGTTTGTGAAGCCCATGGAAAATCTGGGCATATGGGTTTGTAATTGTAGAAGACTATCTTAAAATGTGAGATTTTAACATTTAAGTCATACACATTTAACAATTACAGGTTATGAATATCAACTTAAGCACATCAAATGCTTGTAATAAGGTTTCCTGGTACTGCTTTCTAAATACTGTTTTACCCATTTTCTCTTATAGGAATACTAACATGGTATAGATTATCTGAGTGTTCCATAGTTCAATGTCAAAAGAGAATAAAAGTTCAAATATTTAAAAGAGACTGTCTTCTCTTCACAAAAATCTAGATCTTTAAAATAAAACTTCTGGTTTTTATATACAACACTTAGCAAAACCTAAAAATAACAAGTTCCAAAAAAACAACATTATGTTCTAGAACTGTCTCAATGAAGCTCACTTACAGCTCAGTCAATTCCTCCGGAAATTAAGCTAGACTTTCCATGGTTTGCACTTCAAAAGCAAGCAACAATAACTAAATCCTGACAGAATCTCTCCTGAAATTGTGATTTTGTTTTAACCAAAAAAGTCCCTAAGTCTTCAAGACCTTTGAGTCTATTGAGCTCAATGGAATATGAAGTCTGTAGAGTCATCTGCTTAATTCTTACATTTCATATATATTTGAATGCCTGTGGGGGGGGCGGTCCTTCTACATTTCAAGTTCAGATAACCTATTAGTTAGAAAGCCAATTTTGTTAGCATCTGAGAGTCTAAGTACAGGAAAGGGAAAATCCTTTAATTACACTATTCCTTAAGCTAGGACACTAGCCCTTTCTTCTCAGGCCTCCTGTCCACGGGCCATGGCCTTTTCCTAGGCCTCTCCTGTATCTTTTATCCTTGGTGGTCTTTGACCCTCGCTGCTGTGTGGCCTCGGCTTGTTTTTTATCTACACATAAAATAGCATTTATCAACATCACTCGACATCTCTTTCAGGGAAATAACAAAAGCGGCTTTATTTTTTACTTCCCCAACAGCTTGATGGTTTTCTTTGCTGGCTGCCCTGGGGCCTTTCTACTGAATTCCGTTTCATTTTCCTTTTTTCCAACATGAGACTCTCTCCTGTCTCATATCCTGGCAGGGTTTCGGATGCCTGAATTTACAGCCAAATGTCCTTGGTTTACAAACCTTCCCATCTTTGCAAAGCTTCTGGGCCAGATGAGAATCTGGGTTCCCAAGGTCTCCTGTTTGGCCCACTCTTCCAAATAATCACTTCAGAGCTGGATTTTTTTAATTCTACTTTATCGTTTTCTTTAGCCACATTGGGTGGCAAGAGGGGTGGAAGCTATTTCTAGCAGAAGCTCTCGGTTAACGAGAACCGATGTCTGCAAGCAGCAGCGGCAGAGTGGGCGCTTGGTTAGGCACTCGGGCTCTGGCGTCCAGCAGACCTGCCCCGACCACCTGTGCACTTCGGTAAGTCACTGACCCTCTCAGCGCCTCGGCGTCGCCAGACCTAAAATTGAGGATAAAACACCTACCTTTCGAGAAGGGGGGATGTGAAGACTAAACAAGCCAATAAATGTACAAGGTGTTCAAGACACATTAGCCCGTTAGAATTAATTACTACGATTTTTACGACCAACCCCAGGCCCCAAACCAGGTTCGCCCGAGAGGCCGGCCCTCCGCCAAAGGCAAACGCCGCAATTCCCAGCCCCGCCTCAGCCGCCGGCTTTCCAGAGCGTTCGCGGTGCGCACGCGCGCCGTCCACCTATAGCGCGGCTTGCGCCGGTGCAGGACCGTGAGGATTTGCGCAGGCGCAGGAGCTAGGTGGCGCGCGTCGCAAAGTTACGCGCGCAGGCGCGGTAGACCGGGGAGGTCGAACGGGCGTCGTTGTCCAGGTCGGCCATGGCTGAGGCGTCACGGTGGCACCGAGGCGGTGAGGGGTCATCCTAAGGAGTTGTGGGCAGGGCCGATTTGGAAATTACAAGTACCGTGGAAGGAACTGTGTAGCCCCATATCTATTCATGAAAGACAGGACGTTTAGCCCTCACAGTCTCCCCTTGAAAAGGGGTGGATAGGGGTCTCCTTTCACAGATGGGAAAACTGAAGCCTTGAGGCGATATGGCACCCGCCCCTTGCCCGAGGCTCGAGCCGGGGTTGTTACTTGATCCACAGATAACGTCACTAAGCCATTCTGCGAAGCCTCTTAGTTGACGTAGGGAGTCTTACCTCGATAGAACCCCAGGCCGAGTCATTTTACCCCTCCAGCAGAAGCCAGTCTTCCCAAGAAGCAATATAGAAGGTAGAGAAAACGGTTAGGGATAGATGAGTGGCTTTTTTTTTTTTTTTTTTTGTATTTTGCTTTTTCACTTTCAGACGGGATTTCTGAGGAAACGTCCGTGTAATATATAAAATTCACTAGTGTTCAGTCAAAATGTCCGCTCACCCCACCATGGGAAGTGTTAGTAATTATTCCTCCTTCGCAAAAGTGAGAATTAAAAAAATAACCAGAAGCCATTGGAGCTTTCCTTCACACAGTGTATCAGCTAAAAGTGGCTGTGTTTTCCCATCATCGTTACTTATATACATTATAAATGGCATAATAATGTAAGGAAACAATTTGTTTTGTGTCTCACAGGGACTCCGAAACATAACCTGCATTACAGTAAGGAAGTAGAAATTAGAACCACACTTCAGGAGTTGGCACTCTACTTTATTTTTTTAATAAACCTATGTATATGTAAGTACACAGATGTAGACAAAGACACTGTATGAACTAAGAAGTTATGTGGAGGTGAAAAAAAACGTACTTTATAAACCATAGACTCTCAGACTACTAAGACCTCTAAAAAAATAGTGACACATTTTAGATTTATCTTAAATTCATTTAGATTGATGCTATTTCCATTTCTTAAAGGGCAGAGCTTTAGGTCACAGGTGTAATGAAAAGCTTTCATAGTCAACATTGATTGAATTAGTATATCCAGTGAAATACATCATTGGTATATACAGTGAAATAATATGGAACATTAAAGCATGCCATAGGCTTATGTGCCATAGAATCATGTTGAAGGTAGATAATTGGTAAACACTAAAAGTCTGCTAGCAAAAAAAAAAAAACATGTTTAGTCATGTTAAAGAAAGACCCTGCTCTAAAATCTATCCACCCACCCTAGAAAGAGAACAAATACCAGTTAATATTTTTAAAAATTCTTATCGTGTGCCAAAACATGGATTTAAATGTTCCACATGCATTATCTCACTTCTCATTACAAAACTGAGGTAGGAGATGATACCCTATGATGGGACTCAAATCGTTATTTGAACTCAAAATCCATAGCTTTATTCACTATATTGTATTGCCTACTCTCAAAATAGAGAAAAAGCTTGAATAGTATGCATAATGTGTTCTCATTTTTGTAAAAAACTTATTTTCTTTATAAATGTGTAGGCCTATAGAAAAATCTGAAGAATATGTGCTAAACCTAATTCTAGCAGTGGAATTACAGGAAACTTCTTCCTGTTTTGTATATTTCTATTTTCTTTTTTTTTTAATTTTATAATTAGTCAAGAAAGATTTGAATTTTCAAAACAAAATTGGAAATAAAATTTAACTAACTTTTAATCCTGATAAACTGAGTTTTTAAAAATAAATTTTTAAACAAAAATTCTTCTCCTTAGTGACTTTTGGGATGGTAAACCCACATATGTATTACTTAAACAAAGTTATGTCATCTCTATTTTTGGACACTTCTGTGCCTGGTGATGAAAGAACCAACTTTAAGTCTATTCGCAGCATAACTGATTTTTGGAAGGTAAGGTATCATGTGATTGAGAATGAAGTAGCTTTTGGTATTGCATAAACAAACTCATGGCACACATAATAGGCACTGGAGACATATTTGTTGAAGGAACAAGTAAAAATGAATATTTCTTTAAACTTTTAGAATCAACCCATCAGTAAGTGTATATTGAGAACCTATGCTCTCAATGTAATAGAATTCTTAGAACTTTAAAAAAAATACTTTTTTAAAAGATTTTATTTATTAGAGAGAGTAAGCAGAGGGAGAAGCAGACTCCCCGCTGAGCAAGGAGCCTGTTGTGGGGCTCAATCCCAGGACCCTGAGATCATGACCTGAGCCGAAGGCAGCCACTTAACCAACTGAGCCACCCAGGCACCCCAAAATTATACGTTTTTTAAAAAACATTATCATTGCATTTGGAAAATAGTAGACTTGCTTATGTGGGGTTAGGATCCATGTCAAACTGTAATTTTGTATAGTGAAAATGATACTTAAAAAATCCTTAAATGGGGGCACCTCACTGGCTCAGTTGGGAGAGCATGCAACTCTTGAATTTGATTTTAGGGTTATGGGTGTAGAGATTACTAAAAAAATTGTTAAAAATACTCAAATGGCCCATAAAGTGAAATATATATAATTTTGGTATACAGCCTTATACTGTGTGTATTACAGTAATGTACAGTATATAATCAAGTAAATAATAAAAAGTACATATGCAAAATATAACTATAGTGTTTTTAATTATGTGAGAGTGCCATTCTTTCAGCTTTGGAACAGATTTGTTTTTTCCATTACATTTAACTTAGCAAGATGCTAAGGAAAGAACAATTAAGAGAACAGAAGTTTCAGGTATCCCAAGTCACAAACACTGGGGCATATAAGGAAGGTTTTCCAGAGGTGATGACGATTCACTTGCATTTTAAAGGATGAGTAACAGGAGGGCATTCTAGGAAGGATAAACAATATGTGCTATAAGTAATTCTACATATGGAGCTATGTTTGGCATTGCAGGAATATAGAAGATGAGCTGGAAAAGGCCAAACTCTGAATTGAACAGAGGTCAGTCATGAATGCCATGCTAGGAAACTGAAACTTATGGGAAGGAGACAGGGTCATTTCCCAAGAGAGAGCGGAAGTTTGAGATGAGAGCAGATGATTAGAGCTCATTGGTATAGGCCAGGTGAAATATAAAAGAAAACGATTTTCCCTGAGACTAGAAGTGGAGTTCACCCTACTTTTTTATTGTGCTATCTTGAACTACACATGGCCAATGACGAAGACAAAGACAGGAAAGGAAAAACTGAACCCAGGGTTGGGGATCTCTTAGAATGGCAGAGCCCGAAGTAGTAGCAGTCACCACTGCCGGAACTGGTGGGGAAGGAGAACACAGACAACTTCAAGGGCAAGTGAGGACTTGTGGCTATAACAACCATAAGTGTGTGGCTATGGGTTTATATACTCATGTATTAGGGGACAGTTTTCAATATACCCCTCATATAAGAAAGGGAAAAGAAAAGTTGTGGAATTAAATGAATTAATATTTGTAAAGTGCTAGAGCAGTGCATAGTACATAGTAAGGGCTCAGTAAATATTAACCGTCTTCATTATCATCATCGACATCATCATCATATCTTTAATATTAATGGTGGCTTGGTCAGTAATTTTCATACTCCTCAAAATCACTGATTTTTATGTTCTTAAGGTAACATTATGAACGTAGATTCTGTTACACAATTGACATGAAAATATTTTTCCCATAACATTTATCTTTCTATATGAAGTTTATGGAAGGACCCCTTTTGGAAGGTCTGTACTGGGATGAATGGTACACTAACAAGACGCTGTATGATTTAAAGAACACCAGTCGCATCTACTATGAGAATATACTTTTAGGAGTCCCCAGAGTCCGTCAACTAAAAGTCCGCAACAACACATGCAAGGTCTATTCATCCCTTCAGTCTTTGATGAATGAATGTTATGACAGATACACTTCTAAAAATGAAGACCTGGCTGATTTTGGCCTTAAGGTGGAAACTGAGTAAGTAATATAAAATTACATGTAACTTTTCCTAGCATCTTACCATTGTATCTTTAAAAAATTAGGAAAATATGTATATTTTCCAAATAATACCAACAGTGGTCTGGCAGGTAAGGAGACTATTGCAATAATGGTAACAAAGGAAGGAGCAGTGTTTAGAAAAGTAAGAGTGAACCTGTTATTTTGTTTACCAAAGGATATAAAGAGTATTCTTTCTTTTCTAACTGGGGTATATTAAGTGCTAAGTCATTTTGAACATAAGGTAAAACATCCATTTCTGCTTTTACATTACTCAAATCAGCTTTTCTGTCTCTGACCAGATTCCCTCAAACACATCCCAAAAGCTTCTTGGGACCCTTAGGGAGTGTGTTAGGTGTGCTCTGCCACTTTCCTCCTTTCTCACTCTTACTTCAGTGATATCTTCTGTTATTGCCAAGATGGAAAAGGAGCAATTATGCTCTGGAAGCACTGCATCTGACGATGCCTACCGAAGATATTATAGCCGTGTTCTCCAAATCGGCTGAGACTAATGCTGGTGTACACTCATGTCTATACTGAAGACAGGATACCCAAAGCCGGAAGCTGCTGGTATCATTGCTTTTACAGTCCTATGAAAATCACAGGGGGCAGAGAACACATTTTTTAATTTAATATTTATCAAAATGATACAATTCTATTATGCAGCCATAAAAAGGAATGAGATCTTGCCATTTGCAACGACATGGATAGAACTGGAGGGTGTTATGCTGAGTGAAATAAGTCAATCAGAGAAAGACATGTATCATATGACCTCACTGATATGAGGAATTTTTTTTTTAAAGATTTTATTTATTTGAGAGAGAGAATGAGAGAGAGAGAGAGAGCATGAGAGGGGGGAGGGTCAGAGGGAGAAGCAGACTCCCCGCTGAGCAGGTAGTCCGATGTGGGACTCGATCCCGGGACTCCAGGATCATGACCTGAGCCGAAGGCAGTCGCTTAACCAACTGAGCCACCCAGGCGCCCGATATGAGGAATTTTTAACCTCAGGAAACAAACTGAGGGTTGCTGGAGTGGTGGGGGGTGGGAGGGATGGGGTGGCTGGGTGATAGACATTGGGCAGGGTATGTGCTATGGTGAGCGCTGTGAATTGTGCAAGACTGTTGAATCACAGATCTGTACTTCTGAAACAAATAATGCAATATATGTTAAGAAAAAAAAAAAAAGAAGAAGATAGCAGGAGGGGAAGAATGAAGGGGAGTAAGTCGGAGGGGGAGACGAACCATGAGAGATGATGGACTCTGAAAAACAAACTGAGGTTTCTAGAGGGCAGGGGGGTGGGGGGATGGGTTAGCCTGGTGATGGGTATTAAAGAGGGCACGTTCTGCATGGAGCACTGGGTATTATGCACAAACAGTGAATCGTAACACTACATCAAAAACTAATGATGTAATGTATGGTGATTAACATAATAAAAAATTTTAAAAAAACAAAAAAATTTTTTAAAAATGATACAATTCTCCAGAAGCAGCCTCTTTGAGCTCTTCAGTTGTTTCTTCTGGTGTACTTTCTATTTCTAAATAATGTGCTTGTACTGCTATTACTTGATTTTACAGTTTTATGTATCTGTTGTCTGTCATGGGTCCCTCCCTCGACACACACACTTCCCATTTCCCTTAGCCTGTTGTTAGACCATAATTTTTGTTAATCATTAGTCAGTGTTTATATTATAAATATGAGCAATGATTACATTTCTTCAACAACCTCTCCTGTAGCATCAAGATTAATCACTGCTTTACAGTTTTTGTTGACTTGTTTGTTTTTTCTTTGTGTAAGTTTTTGGTTATACTTTAGGATAGCAAAGTGCTCGTATAATTCTTAGAAATCTGATGAACTCATAAGTATGGTGACACAGTCTCTTAGATATTACTGTACTGTATACTACTCTTTAAATGAAAAATTACAAAATAAATCAGTTAATTGCACATTTTAAATTGGAATCTAAAAACTAATCTGTTAGGTATTCTATTATTCCAAATTCTCATAACAACTAAAAGTAAGTTAAATACCAAAATTAACACTACAGACTTGGAATTATAATACTCGTTACTCCCTAACAAAATAAGAATCAATCTGTGCTTGCTTGTCTATCTAAAATGTAACATTCACTAATTAAAAACATCATAAAAAATTGGAAGTAGGAGAGGATTGGTATAACAAATGTTCTTGTTTCAGTTTAACAACCATGTGGAAAACATTCAAAAATACAACAATGGAATTTTCATTAAATCTGAGTATTTTTTCTTAGTGGTATCACTTTTCCCCCCTCCTGAAAACAAACAGTATTATTAATAGAAAAACAGCTCTAAGCAGTATACCTTTGGATAATCATTCAGATCTGTCTGGGGAGGCTGAACAGGGAATGAAATGAGGAGTCAAAGCTTTATTTTTTGATATTCCATAATTAAAAGTTAAAAGGATGGGGGTGCTTGGGTGGCTCAGTTGGTTGCGCGTAGGACTCTTGATACTGGCTCAGGTCGTGATTTCAGATTCGTGGGATCGGTCCCCGCATCCCGCTCCATGCTGAGCAAGGAGCCTGCTTGGGATTCTCTCTCTCCTTCTGCCTTTCCCCCCACCTTACATGTGCTTGCTCACTCTCTCTGTCTCTCAAAAAAAGTAGAAAGGATGGAAACAAAATTCAGTTAAGCACATTTTACTTTGATTTATAAACTTTTGTAAAATAAGATACCTACTGGGGCACCTGGGTGGCTCAGTCGGTTAAGCAACTGCCTTCAGCTCAGGTCATGATCCAGGGGTCCTCGGATTGAGTCCCACTTCAGGCTCCTTGCTCAGCGGGGAGTCTGCTTCTCCCTCTGCCCCTCCCCCTCCCCTTTGCTTGTGCTTTCTTTATCTGACAAATAAAATAAAATCTTTTTAAAAAAACCTTTTCTCATTGCATCTAGTCCAATGTGTTGTCCACACTAAACACTAAACAATGAAAACATACTAAGTCTTAATCCTTTTAATCCTTAACTCATTGTCTTGCTTCAAAGTTACCATAAAACTTATGAACTTAATACTGCTTTTTTTTTTAATGTTAGCTTAAATTCTTAGAATACGTCTCAGTCAGGCTTTCTCATCTCTTCATTATTCTTTTTATACCTAACAGATGGAAGTACGCTACTCCTGATAGTACCTCCCCTTGGCACTGGGGGTTTGTTGGTGTTTACCGAAATGGGGGATTTATTTTCACTTTATCAAAATCAAAATCTGAAACAAAAAACAAGTTTATTAACCTTCAACTGAACAGCTGGATCACAAGAGGGACTAGAGTTATTTTTATTGATTTTTCATTATACAATGCTAATGTAAACCTGTTTTGCATAATCAGGTAAGTGACTCAAAACCTCTTTATTAGTGTCTTGAATTTAAAAAGCCTTCAGAGGGGCACTTGGCTGGCTCACTCAGTGGAGCATGGCACTCTTGGTCTCAGGGTCGTGAGTTTGGGCCCTACATTGGGCATGGAGTCGGCTTAAAATGTATACATACATACATACATGGCATCCAGAGCCCTCATTAGGGTTTCCAGTTTGTGTGTGTTTACACTGAGATTAAAATCATAAGCCTCAGGGCGCCTGGGTGGCTCGGTCAGTTAAGCATCTGACTCTTGATCTCATCTCAGGTCTTGATCTCACAGTTGTGAGTTCAAGCCCCACGTTGGGCTCCACGCTGGGCCTGGAGCCTGCTTAAAAAAAAAATCATAGGGTTACCTGGGTGGCTCAGTTGGTTAAGCGTCTGCCTCCAGCTCAGGTCATGATCCCAGCATCCTGGGATCAAGCCCCACATTGGACTCCCTGCTACTTAGGAGCTTCTCCCTCTGCCTGCCGCTCCCCCTGCTTGTGCTCTCTCGCTCTTGCTCTCTGTCAAATAAATAAATCTTAAAAAAAAAAAAAAATAGGCCTCAAAATAAAGTAGTTATGCCAATAATGAATAAGATGGTAAAGCACCATCATATTCATTGTTTCATTGTTTTTGGAATATATTCAAGAACATGGAGAATTACTTAACATACAATATGTTTTATATTAAGGATATATAGTCTTATTCTGCAGCTGCACAGATCTCACATTTAGTCTTGATTTCTATCTTTAAATCACATCATTTAAATCTGTTGATTTCTTTGCAGAATGAGCTTCTTTATTATTTTGTCTCAAGAATGAAAAATTTATATTTCAAACAATATATACCCATAGCCAGCATCCTAGAAATGATTAGAGCCTGTGGTGATTTGCAAAAATGGCCCCAATTCTTCACATCTTTGCCATGTAACCTTGCAGTGCTCTGCCACCCAGGGTTGGGTGCATTTACCCAGCTCCTGATGCTAGGCTCAGCCTTGAGTTTTGTTGTTGTTTTGTGGTTGTTGTTTTAATTTTTTTAATTTAAATTCAATTAATTAACAATGCATTATTAGTTTCAGAGGTAGAGTTCAGTGATTCATCAGTTTCATATAATACCCAGTGCTCATTACATCACATGCCCTCCTTAATGTCCATCACCCAGTTACCCCATCCTCCCAACCCCCTCCGTCCAGCAATCCTCAGTTTCTTATGATTAAGAGTCTCTTATGGTTTGTCTCCCTCTCTGATTTCATCTTGTTTTGTTTTTTCCTCTCTTCCCCTATGATGCTCTATTTTATTTCTTAAATTCCACATATGAGTGAGATCATATGATAATTGTCTCTCTCTGATTGACTTATTTCACTTAGCATAATACTCTCTAGTTTCATCCACGTCATTGCAAATGGCAAGATTTCATTCTTTTTGATGGCTGAATAGTATTCCATTGTAGATATACACACCACATCTTCTTTATCCATTCATCTGTCGATGGACATCTGAGCTCTTTCCATACTTGGCTATTGTGGACATTGCTGCTATAAACATTGGGGTGCAAGTGCCCCTTTTGAGGACTACATTTGTATCTTTGGGGTTAATCCCTAGTAGTGCAGTTGCTGGGTCCTCGGGTAGCTCTATTTTCAACTTCTTGAGGAACCTCCATACTGTTTTCCAGAGTGGCTGCACCAGTTTGCATTTCCCACCAAGAGTGTAAGAGGGTTCCCCTTCTCTGCATCCTCACCAACATTTGTTGTTTCCTGACTTGTTCATTTTAGCCATTCTGACTGGTGTGAGGTGGTATCTCAAAGTGGTTTTGATTTGTATTTCCCTGATGCCAAGTGATGTTGAGCATTTTTTGTCTGTTGGCCATTTGTATGTCTTCTTTGTAGAAATGTCTGTTCATGTCTTCTGCCCATTTCTTGATTGGAGTATTTGTTCTTTGGGTGTTGAGTTTGATAAATTCTTTATAGATTTTGGATACTAGCCCTTTATCTGATAAGACATCTGCAAATATCTTCTCCCACTCTGTAGGGTGTCTTTTGGTTTTGTCTACTGTTTCCTTTGCTGTGCAAAAGGTTTTTATCTTGTTGAAGTCCCAGTAGTTCATTTTTGCCTTTGTCTCCCTTGCCTTTGGAGATGTGTCTAGCGAGAAGTTGCTGCGGCCAAGGTCACAGAGGTTGCTGCCTATGTTCTCCTCTAGGATTTTAGTGGGTTCCTGTCTCACATTTAGGTCTTTCATCCATTTTGAGTCTATTTTTGTGTATGGTGCAGGAAAATGGTCCAGTTTCATTCTTCTGCACGTGGCTGTCCAATTTTCCCAACACCATTTGTTGAAGAGACTGTCCTTTTTCCATGGGATATTCTTTCCTGCTTTGTCGAAGATGAGTTGACCACAGAGTTGAGGGTCCATTTCTGGGTTCTCTATTCTGTTCCGTTGATCTACGTGTCTGTTTTTGTGCCAGTACCATACTGTCTTGATGATGACAGCTTTGTAATAGAGCTTGAAGTCCGGAATTGTGATGCCACCAGCTTTGCTTTTCTTTTTCAACATTCCTCTGGGTATTTGGGGTCTTTTCTGGTTCCATACAAATTTTAGGATTATTTGTTCCAGCTCTGTGATAAAAGTTGATGGCATTTTGATAGGGATTGCATTGAATGTATAGATTGCTCTAGGTAGCAGACATTTTAACATTATTTGTTCTTCCAGTTCATGAGCATGGAACGTTTTTTCCATTTCTTTGTGTCTTCCCCAATTTCTTTAATGAGTGTTCTATAGTTTTCTGAGTACAGATCCTTTGCCTTTTGGTTAGGTTTATTCCTAGGAATCTTATGGTTTTTGGTGCAATTGTAGATGGGATCAACTCCTTAGTTTCTCTTTGGGCTTAGCCTTGTGACTTGCTCTGGTCAATGGAATGGGAGCAGATAAGATACAAGCAGAAGTTTGAAATGAGTTTGCCTGTTAAAACTTGTTCTCTAGGGGTGCCTGGATGGCTCAGTCATTAAGCGTCTGCCTTTGGCTCAGGTCATGATCCCAGGGTCCTGGGATCGAGCCCCACGTCGGGCTCCCTGCTCTGCGGGAAGCCTGCTTCTCCCTCTCCCGCTCCCCCTGCTTGTGTTCCTGCTCTCACTGTGTCTCTCTCTGTCAAATAAATAAATAAAATCTTTAAAAAAAAAAAAAAAACTTGTTCTCTGGCATTTCTGCCATGAGAAGGACATGTCTGGGTTGATGTGGACCCAGGAGGATGGTTAAGAGAGATTCCCTTATAAGGAAGAAGAGGAGGCAAAGGAGGAGGAGGAGAAGGGGAAAGAATCAGCAGGCAGGGGAGAGAACCCTCTAAAGAGAAAAAATTCTTTCCATTTGTCTGATGACCTTAGTGCCTAACCTGGACCATGCTAATTGGCTTTAGCCCTGTGTTCTAGAACCACACACTGACAAAGAAACAGGATTACCATGATTGAATCTGTCTGGGGATTGAATCAGCTTCCTCTGAGTGATCTGGGAATGAGTGGATGCCTGGTACAATCAGGGTTCTATTAGAAAGGAGGAATGGAATAATGACCACAGACAAGCAAAGAGTAGTATCCACTAAAATCTCAGTGAATCTTAAATCTCTCTCATGAGTCTTACATTTCTACCCTAAATGGAATACAGAATTGGTGTCTACTCTGATTAGGGGATTTTGCCCTTGTGCAACAGTGACAGTGAAACCAACCATGGCCTTTAAAATCTGGAAAAATGAATAAAACAAATCTATTGTCTTAAGTAGCATGGACATTACACCATTTCTTTTATAGTTTTTTTTTTTCTCTTCTTTCAGGGAATCAGAGCTTTTTACCAACATTAATCACTCTTTCCAACAGTTCTGATCAGGATAAAGAATACAAATCAACATTATTTAACATTATTCTTCCAGTTCATGAGCATGGAACGTTTTTTCGATTTCTTTTTGTCTTCCCCAATTTCTTTGGCCTTAAACACGAGGAGAAACATTGGGATAACTGGCTTAAAATCATACAGAGAACTCCTTGTTACACTAGACTAAGTCCAGATTTCCTGTCCCTGGGGTTTATGCTTATTCTGTTACCTTTTATTTTTATTTATTTTTTTTTTTGGTGAAAAAAATTTATATTTAGATTTAGCCAGCTGGACTGTTTAGATGATTCCAATTTTGTTGGTAACATCCAAAGCATCATAGTCAGGAGCCAATCGAACATATGCCTTCTTCTCTCCATCAGGCCTGATCAAGGTGTTGACCTTGGCCACGTCAATGTCGTAGATCTTCTTTATAGCCTGTTTGATACGGTGCTTATTGGCCTTGACATCCACAATGAACACAAGTGTGTTGTTGTCTTCTATTTTCTTCATGGCTGACTCAGTAGTCAGGGGGAACTTGATGATGGCATAGTGAGATGGCGCCCAAGGCTAAGAAGGAAGCCCCTACCCCTCTGTTACCTTTTAAAATGTTACTTTTTAGAAACTAACAAATATTATTTTTTAAAAAAAGATTTTATTTTTTGACGGAGAGAGACAGGGAGAGAGGGAACACAAGCAGGGGGAGTAGGAGAGGGAGAAGCAGTCTTCCCGCAGAGCAGGGAGCCCGATGCGGGGCTTGATCCCAGGACCCTGGGATCATGACCTGAGCCAAAGGCAGATGCTTAACGACTGAGCTACCCAGGCACCCCAGAAACTAGCAGATTTTAAAACTTTAAACTGGTGGTATATCTAATCAGTAGTTGTATTACTTATGCACATTACTTAAGACCTTACCCATGTACTTCCCTTTTGTAAACATATCTGGCAACCTAAACTGAATACTGTTCTTTTTTCCCTTTTTACTAGTGTACGCTTCAGATCAAAATATTGAGTTTCTTTCACTTCACTCACTTATCCAACATTGCACACCTACTACATGCAAGGCAAAACAGTTCTATTTTGTTTAACTGGTTTTGGGTTTTACTTTGGCAGCACCTTATTCCAGTAGCAATAATATTTGCTAATATATCTAAGTAGGAATAATTACATTATGATAGAGATACTGGGTTCCTTAAATTACTGCCAATTCTTAATTATCTGAAGTTGTAGAGAGCAGTAGAAATACAGTGAACAACCTCAAAATCTTTTATTTAGTGTTGGAATTAATTTTTATACTTCTCTTTGCATATAAATCCTTGTATCCAACATCCTGTGCCTAAACAGGAAACATTTGTTTTAGTAGACCATGTAATCTTGACATTTAGAAGCAAGAAGTATCTCTGATAATCTAAAGAGGGAAAGTGTATTTTCCTTCTCTGAAACATTCAAGAATTATGTATCCTGGGGGGAGTATTGATTAATAACAGTAACTAACAGTATAGCATTTCTTGAACATCATCTCATTCTCTTGTGGAGATAAAGTGATATTCCCAGTGATGATCAAGAAATCTAAACACAAAATAGAAAGAATGGCTAACATCACATCTTACTTTCTCAATGACATTGGTCTTTGACCACTGTGAATATTCAGAAAATTAATGGCTTCACTTCAAAAAAAAGTGAAGCCATTAAAAAATAAGTAAATCCACTAGAATTTCTTTTAAATTGAACACATGACCCCAAAAAAACATATTTTGTATAAAATAACTGATTATTAAAGTACACATCATCACAAATTAGAAACTTCACATTGAGTTAGGTACTGAAATATAAATGCTTGAAATAAATGCACAGTTACTTTCACTAACCTAATTTTACAGATTGGTGGCAGAATTCCCTGCAACTGGAGGAATAATTACGTCATGGCAGTTTTACTCTGTGAAGCTCCTCAGATATGTTAGCTACTATGATTATATCATAGCTTCCTGTGAAATCACATTTTGTATTTTTCTTATTGTCTTCACAACACAAGAAGCCCAAAAAGTTAGAGAATTTAAGTCTGCCTATTTCAAAAGTGTTTGGAACTGGCTAGAATTACTACTTTTGGTGGTAAGTATACATTCATATGTATTGTTGGAGGGAATCAAATCTGAACGCACCAATGAGGGAGGTGTAAAAAGCAAACTTTTCTGTTCATCTGGCAACTAGCTAAGGAGCACCTCCGTCTCTCCCTCCCCCCTCCCCAAGTCCCAGACCCCCACCCCAACCCCTCAGCTCTTCAGGAGCCCAGCTGGTACAATTTCAAAGCTGCAAGTATCAATTATAAAAGGAACTGCCATAGGGCATACTAACGGTGGGCCTCCAAAAGTAAGAAGTCTATTTTTGGGGGTGCCTGGGTGGCTCAGTTGGTTAAGCATCTGCCTTCAGCTGGGGTCATGATTTCGGGGTCCTGGGATTGAGCCCCGGTGTCGGGCTCCCTGCTCAGCGGGGAGTCTGCTTCTCCCACTCTAGCTCTGTGCTCTCTCTCGCTCACTCTCTCTCTAAAAAAAAAAAAAAAAAAATGTATTTTTTTTTCTCTGATTTGGTCCTTGAGAAAACCAGCATAAACTTAGAAGAATAGGTGATTCTATAGGTATTATTTAATGCACACAGTAGGTCTCCCCTCACTCAAAAAAATGTGTTTCTTATAGGGCGTCATGTTGAAAATCATGGTTATTTTTGGACATGTACTCTTCTATGTTGCCTCTCTGTTTTCCTCCTCACACTGAATTTTGACAGAATATGCAAAATCAAGCCTAGGAAGAATACTGAAAGGGGGGGCTGGAGGGAGTGAGCAGCCAGAGGGTAGCTTGTGGGCACAGAGAACACCAGGATTGGGAATATAGTCTCTGAAAGAAATTCCAAAAACTGCCAGTTCTCGTCAATGGAATGGACTAAAACAAAGCGGTAGGCAGGGTGGGACAAATGGTAAGAACACGGTCTTAGAAAAAATGAACAAACATTTCTGGCTTATTCACCCTTACTGACCCTCAGTTATAGCCAATCCAGGATATAATCCTTGTTTCCCAAAACCAGATTAAAAGTTTCTCAGAGTCAGGAAATGTGCCACCTACCTCTCTGGTATCCCCAATAATACTTAACATACAGCATAACATTGAATGTTTAACTATCTGAGCATTTCAGGCAAAGGAAGTCAAAGGAAGATTTTCATGACAGTTCGAAAGCTGTGATACCTGATATAACCTGGTTCTGAAATCCTCCTCTAGAAGAGCTGTCAGAGGGCTCTCAAGGCTTATTTTTGTGTCACTGAAAAATTTTTTCTTTTAGTGTTACGTGGTAGAAAATATTAAACTTTTAAGGATCATGTGTATGGACATGTTGAACTACTATACTGTACACATGAAACTAATATAACACTGTATGTTAACTACACTGGAATTATAAATAAATACATAAACACATAAATAAACTTCTAGGTATCACGTAGTTACATGGAGCAGAAATGCAGCCTTGTCAGAATAACGTAGTCATTTTAGACATTTGTGCTTTATGACTCAAAGAAACAGGCAGACAGATTAGGATGGTCAGGTGACCAGTATTTCTGCACTTTTGTGATCATCTTGCTATCTTAAACTTCTGTAAATTGCAGTTCACTTCCATTCACGTAAAAGCCTACGTCTTAGTCCCCCCCCCTTTTTGTTAAACTTCTGATGAACTTTTTCCTGTGTCTGTTCGTAGGCTGCAGGAAATTCAGAAGTAGAAATTGTCTCTAATTTAATATTTCTTATTTTCCCATTTAGTTGTGTTTTGTGACTGTTTCCTTCAACATATACTGTAATATACAAATTTTTCTCTTACTTGGAGATTTGTTAAAAAATACTGAAAAATATTCAGACTTCTATTTTCTTGCATACTGGCACACTTACTACAACAATATAATCGCTGTCACCATCTTTTTTGCATGGATAAAGGTATTTATACTTTATTATATTAAATACAACAGATTAAATAAGTGTTTTTTTAGATAGCAAAATGGGAACTAAAGCTGCAAAGTTATGGGAAAAAAAGGATTTTCTTAACTATAAAGTAACTTTAAAAAGTAGGTTGGCCTTGCAATGATTGCGGGCAAATCCTCAAACACTCCTATCACTATTAAGCATTTCCTTTAATTTGAAGCAAATTTTTTCTGAAATTAATTTTACTGTAAGTAAGTATGATATTAGATATTCTTCTGTTTCAATTAACTTTGTTCTTTTTCAGATATTCAAATTCATAAGTTTTAATAAGACAATGTCTCAGCTGTCATCAACCTTGTCCTGCTGTATCAAAGACATAGTAGGATTTGCCATCATGTTTTTTATAATATTCTTTGCTTATGCTCAGTTAGGATTTCTTGTTTTTGGATCACAAGCTGACGACTTTTCCACTTTTCAAAATGCCATGTAAGCTGTTAGAATAATGTAATTATATTTACTAACTTTTAAGAAAACAAATCATGGAAAGGCCTATAATAAGTAGTAATATATGTTTTAATACATTTAAACTTGGTTTTATATTTTCACTGATAGAAAAATACCTGGTCACACTCAAAGTAGTATTTAGCATTAAAAGATCCCAATGGATAGTGCAGTCCATTTTTTAAATGTTAAGAGGTCAAGTTAGAAAAATAATATTTCATTTTTCATTGGTAAAAAGCTTACCAAATATAACAGAAATTGGCCTCTATGTCTCTGTAATATTTATTGTCTGGAGAAAAGAAAGTTTTAATGCTTCTCTTTAAGGCCTCTACCTTTAGAATCCTTTTATTGATATTCACCTGATTGTCCTTTGCTGACCTGGCAAAGCTGTGTTTTAAAAATATTTTTATATGCATAAAGCAATCAGTAGGCAACAAACTTATACAACTGATCGGGTAGAATCCTTAGAAAAGTATTCAGATTTTTTTTTAAGTGAATAAATAAATTCACTCTCCTTTTTGAGTAGGTAAAATAAGTTCTGTGTGTGTAAGAAAATTATGATAGTCTGAAATATAAATTCTCAAAATATGTAACTTAGACCAATATTGGTGGGAAATGGCTTCATATTTAAGTAAGTTTTTGAAATTTTGCATCACTCTTTTGAAAATTTGCAGTGCATGTTAACATATGACCCTGAGAAAAACTGCAATAACTTTCTTAACTTTAGTCAAGAATTCCCCAAACTTACTTGTCCATGCCCTTTTACTTGATTTTGGGGGAGTTCTGGTCCAAGGAAATGTCTTAAGTTGCTCTCTTTTCACCATCCACGTGGATATATTTGAAGTGCCAATTCTAAGAAATTTCATATTTGCTGAAATAACCCTTTATTAATTACTCATAGAAAGAAGAGTGGACTAGGAACCAAGAGGATATAGTTCTACTTTCCACTTCTGCACTAGCTATTCAACTTTTCTAGACCTTTATTTCTTTATCTGCAAATGAAGGGACTGGACTAAGTTATTCCCAAAGATTCCTTCCAATGTCAACAGCCTACAATTTGAGAAGTCTAATTAGCTTTCTCTTGAGTGAATTATGTTTGCAGTTCCAACAACTTCTTGGTCCTTTCCTAGGATCTTAATTCAAGTGTCACTAATAAAACTTAGTAGTACTGGACATTAAATATAATTGTAGTAATTTACAGAACTTGGAAATTGGTCTTACCCTAGATAGTGGAGAAGAAAGGAAGTATAAGACACAGAACGAACAGGTAGACAACTTTGGAATACATTAGAGGGGACCTCTGCTTTTGATAATGATGTGCTAGTTTATTCAAATCAACCTCCTCTTCAAGACAATTTAAAAAGCTAGATGAAATACAGGTAACATTGAAGAACTGACCATAAAGTAGATAATAAGTGGACCAAAACCAAAAGGCAAGAACCCAGAGAAGTAAGCTCAGCATCCAAGGCTTCTTTTGCCCTGAAGCCTTCTTTTTAAGTTTATAAGGGTTTTTTTTATTGTGTTAAGATATACATAAAATTTACCATCTTAACCATTTCTAAGTGTACAATTCAGTGAGATTAAGTACATTCATACTGTGCAACATCACCACCATCCATCTCCAGAACTCTTTTCATCTTGTAAAACTGAAACTATGTCCATTAATCAAGAATTCTCCACTTTCCCCCTCTCAGCCTCTGGCAACCACCATTCTACTTTTTGTCTCTCTCTCTCTCTTTTGATTTTCATTAACTCTAGGTGCTTAGTGGGATCATACAGTATTTGCCTATTTGTGACTGATTTATTTCACTTAGCATGCCTTCAGGATTCATCAGTGTCATGCAATATGTTGGAATTTCCTCCCTTTTCTTGACTTTCCCCATGTCTTTTAGTTCTTTGAGCATCTCTTTAAAGTCTTTGTCTAGTAGGTTTGCTATCTGGTCTTTCTCAGGGATATTTCTGTTGGTTTATTTTTTTCCTTTGATTGGGTCATACTTTCCTGCTTCTTTGTATGTCCTGTCTTTTCTTGTTGTTGTTGAAACCTGGACATTTGAATGTAGAATGTGATAACCCTGGAAATGACATTCTTGCCCTTCACCAGGGTTTCCTGTTTTTTGTTTTGTTTTATTATTGTATACTGTCTTCATGCTAAGGAGCAGCTTGAAGTGTAAAGGTCTTCTTAGGTCTTTTCTGAGCCTGCACCTTTCCTTGGGGATGCATGGTGACTTTCTAATTTCCTCCATATATGCAGTTACTTTTGATGTCTTTAATGTCTGGCTCCCAAAAGGGGAAAAAGAGAAAAATGAAGGAGGAGGGGAGGGCACCAGCTCTTTAATCCCAAGGACATTAATTCAGCAAGAGGGAGAGGAACTTGAAAAAGACAGGGGAACATGCCCACATCTTTCTGCATCCTTGTGATCAGAAGGAGCAATCAGCAATCAAAACACAGACCCCTAATGTTTGGAGAACAGTGTCCTGATTGCCCACCCTCGTTCACACAGGTTGCATGCAAGCTGCTCCAGGAATATATGCATGGCTCCCTGCCATGGGCTGGGGGGTGGCAGATGGGTAGCTTTTACCAAACTAAAACCTGAAATTGACCAAAATTGTGTAAGCCTTCCCCTGGAAGTTGCAAGCCTTAAATAGACTCCAGAGTTCCAAAACAGTTACATCAGACAAATTCTGCCTATGTCATTATTGTCTAGGTGGGGAGACATATTCCTAATATTTCCTATTCCACCACCCTCCCCAAACCCTCCACCATGAAGGCATTTTTGATGATCCAGAGAAATAGTCAAGAAAATGTGTTTCTGGCCACCTCTCCAGGAGAAGGAGACAGAAGGCAAAGTCCAGGGCTTGCATGGGGGCAGAGGCGGGGAGGGCTTGTCTGATAACCTCTCCACACAACAGGCAAGGAAACTGAAGGGCTAAAGTCTCAAGTTAAAGGTGAATCAATCCCTCATAATTACCTAGGTATCCAGGGAATTTCATGTCTTAAACTTGGATTAAGATGGTCCTGGGTTAGAATGCCTGTGTGCATCTGCAGATACTAACAAAAAACCTCTCTGGAGAAAGTTTATTCATCCTCAGTCTCAAATTACTTCTACAAGCAATTTTCCAAATATAACTTACTGCTCATAGTCAAAGGCAACCTGGTACAGAAGGGGTAAGGAATCATAAGCAAGAACTAGCAGATAACAAACAACAGACTCAAAGACTTCCAATATTAGAATAATCACAAAATACTATATTTAGAGAAATATAAGTCAGAAAACATCTTTAGAGAACAGGACAGTATAAAAAGTGACATCTTTGAAAAAGTATCAAAAATAGAATTCCAGAACTGAAAATTGTAGTAACTGAGAATAAAAACCTAGTTGACATGGGGCGCCTTGGTGGCTCAGTTGGTTGAGCGTCAGACTCTTGATCTCGGCTCAGGTCTTAATCTCAGGGTTGTGGATTTGAGCTCCACATTGGGCTCCACAAAAAACGAACAAAACACCTAGTTGACAGGTTTGACAGCAAATAAGAGATGAAGAGAGAATGAGTAAAGTGAAAAATAGGCCAGCAAAAATTACTGGAAATGTGGCATAGAGATACAGAAAGTGGGAGAAGGTATGAAGTATGAAGACTGGAACAAGAAGGCCTAACATGTTTAACCTGAGTTACAGAAGACAGACAGTGGACGAGGCAATATTTGGAGAATGCTGAAGAATAGCTAAATACCCAGTCATGTGAAGTCATGTTAACCACAGTGGTATATTATTATGGAACAATCTGTTACCAATTTTAATTTATAAGAGAGAACTCTAGAAAGTTACCAGGGGTATGAGGAGGCTACAAACCAGTTTTTCATTCAATATAACCCTGTATTCTAAGCAGTCATGGTGTTCCTTTTAGGTTGGGGGGGAGGGTAGATAAGCTAAACTCCAATAAACTAAACTCCAGTTAGGAGAAAAATGACAATTACATTGCGTTTGAAGTCTCCATTTCCTATGTGAGTATAACCATTCAGCAAATTGGTTAGGTTTTGTTATTCACATTACTTACACAACAGAGGTATCTGGACCTCATTCAGAAGGGCTGAATGGAAGCTTTAGTTAACAAGCTAATTTCTGGAAATGAGAAATGGTGCCTTTAACTTATCTTTTCTCCTGTAAATACAACTCAAGGATTACAGATCAAGTTTAATCAAAACTGAAACAGAACCTCTCATTCTCCTATACCAGAGAGGAAAAAATATTTGTTGAGAGACTTTGGTCTCCTTCCAGTTCAGCTTTTCTTTTTGTATCTTGTGTAGAAGAACATTATAAACCAGTAGTAAAAGCTGAATAAATGGGGTGGCTGGATGGCTCAGTTGGTTAAGCATCCGACTCGGTTCCAGCTCAGGTCGTGAACTGAGTCATGAGATCCAGCCCAGTGTCGGGCTCCACACTCAGCACGGAGTTTGTTAAAGACTCTCCCCCTGCCCTCCTTTTATTTTTTATAAATAAAAAAATATTTTATTTATTTGAGAGAGAGAGAGGCAGAGGGAGAAGCAGGGTCCCTGCTGAGCAGGGAGCCCAATGTGGGGCTCGATTGCAGGACCCTGGATCATGACCGGAGCCAAAGGCAGAAGCTTAACTGGCTGAGCCACCCAGGCACCCCTAAATAAGGAAGTCTTAAAAAAAAAAAAAAAAAAAGTCTAAATAAATACTTTTAAGTATGAATGATTTAACCATATCTTAAGTACCCAAGATGAAATTCCAACTAACTCTTGAGTCCTAGGACTCCAAGTAGCCCATTTCTTTGAATATATTTTCTTCCTTCATTGTTTACAGCTGTATGCTCCCTTTACATGCTGGGCAAAAGCAACCAGGAACAAGAAGCCTTCTTCCTTTTGACTGACTAACCAATCATGCAAAGTATCTACATACTATTAAAAATTCCATCCCAGACTTTCCCTTAAAATAATTCATTTTAAGCATCTAACAGCAGTAACCATGGCATCAAAATATATCAAACATAAATCCAAATAAGCCGAAAGTATCAACTGTGGTTGTTCCTAATTAGCTTACGAATTTTTAAAACTTTTTTAGTACTTCCTAAAATTTCTCCCATGAATGTGCGTTATTATTATAATCAGAAAAACTGGAGTGCTGCCTTTTTCTTTTAATTGTCCAATATTAGAGCTCTGGCTATCCATAAGGAACATAAAATAGATGTTACCCATTCCAGAAAACAAAATATGAGTAATAAAGTAGCATGCTACTGTTGCAAAACAAGAATAACAGAGATTATTTTCCTATATACTGTTCACATAATTTAAAGAAAAAAGATTAATTTCATCTAATTATTAATTATCTTTAAATTATTATTTTAAAATGATCAATTCAGGAACCTGGGTTTTAAAAATGGAAACTATAATAAATCTTTTTCTAACCCAATAACCAATTGACCCATTGACCGCCTTTGGAATTTAGGTTAAATCACAGGTATTTCTGGGACTGTTGGATATTAACATTAATTAAAAGTAATGCTTGAAATTTAATTGACGGGTATAATACAGAACTCAAGCAACAATCCTTAATAATGTTTATCACCATTTATGAAAATTTCTAACTTGCTTCTACAGACTGCTCAATGTTTATATTATAGCTAAAAAGATAATTTTCCTAAGAAAACAATTTTAACTTGTAAAGAAAGATCCAAATACTTTTTAAATTAATTGTTTCATCTATGAGTAAAGATGAAATTAAACAGTTCTCAAGTTAAAAAAAAATAAAGAAATCATCTACATAATTTATAACATATCCCTGGTGTGTCTGGCAATGCCATTGCAAATTAATAATGAGAAAATATCATGTTAAGTACTCCTAATTCCACCTCTGCTACTACTATGCTCATTCAAAGCCTTAATTTCCACCGTTAATATTAATAAAATGAAGATCTGTAATATTTTAAATGTTATTTTACATCAAATCCAAGATTTATAGTTATTGAAGAGAATAAAGTAAACCTCAGGGGGCACCTGGGTAGCTCAGTCAGTTGAGCGCCCAACCCTTGATTTCGGCTTAGGTCATGATGTCAGGGTCCTGAGACTGAGCCCTGAGTTGGGCTCGGCGCTCAGCGGGGAGTCTGCTTCTCTCCCTCTTCCCCTGCTTCCTCCCTACCCTGCTCTCTCACATGTGCGCTCTCTCTCTCTCTAAAAATTAAAAAAAAAAACAAAAAACACCCCACCTCTGGATCACGTTTGAGGATCATTACCAGCACTTGTTTTGAGACTCAGCAAGTGATAAATTGTTGGCATCTTATTTTAGCAGAGGAGGTGTACACATTACACATATTATTGGTATTAGAAATTTTAGGGTTCTTGGGTCTAGGTACGAGTTGAAAATCCTTATTGGACAAGGTCAGGTATTCTAAATTTTAGAAGGGCCCAAGAAAGGCTAAGAAGGTCATTGCCAAGACTAGTTGGTAAGCAGGTATCTCAAGGGTCAAATCTTGTAGGATTCAATAAGTGGAAGCCCATCATTTCCTGAATCACTGTTGAATAATTGAAGTCCTTGTCTGGCCTTTAGGGGGATGTTCCACACCTAGTTTTATGGAACTCGGAGCTAACATGACTAAAGCCAGAGAACCTATGCCACATGCAGCTGGATGGATACGTTCCTAGACATAGTGGTAGTAACCCCCATCAGTAGTCATGTATGTGTGAGGGGATATAATGTTTTCCTTTCTTCCCATCAAAGATTTACACAATTTCGAATTGTTCTTGGAGATTTTAATTTTGCTGGCATTCAGCAAGCCAATCGTATCCTGGGACCCATTTACTTCATCACTTTCATCTTTTTTGTGTTCTTTGTCCTGCTGGTAAGTATGACCATATATGTTCCCTTTTTTGCTTATATTTTTTTAGAATAAAAAATGAAATTACTAATTTAGAAGAAATTATAGTATCACTGCTTAGCTGTCAGAGCTTTTTACATTTATTAGGAATTGTGTGGATTCCTAGAAATCCAGGCTAAGTCCAGTGTCTAAATGTTTTCAGTTTGTCCAAAGGAGAATGTGATCACAGTAGTTACCATCTTGGTGTCTGATGTGTGCCAGGAATGTGCCCACTCTTCTCCGAGTATAACTTGAATATCCCAGGTCTCTCCAGCTGGGACATTCCATACTGGCAGGGGTGAAAATATTCTGCCCATTATTGCAATGGTTTCTAGCCCTTATGGCTAAAAACTCATACCTTTGTGATTTTTTAGGGGTCCCCAGGATGTGCTTTCTCTATTACTGAGCATATGGGCTACTTTTAAAATTTAAATCTAATTTACAAATCCCAGCACTCAGGGCGCCTGGGTGGCTTAGTCGGTTAAACGTCTGCCTTCAGCTCAGGTCGTGATGCCAGGGGACTGGGATTGAGCCCCGCATCGGGCTCCCTGCTCAGCAGGGAGTTTGCTTCTCCCTCTCCCTCTGCCCCTCCCCTCTGCTGGCCTCTCTCTCCCTCTCTCAATCTCTCTCAAAATAAATAAATAAAACCTTAAAAAAAAAATCCCAGCACTCATCAGAGTCACTAACATTTAAACTAAATTTTTACTAATTATTATTTCTCCCCAGAACATGTTCTTGGCAATTATTAATGATACTTATTCTGAAGTGAAAGCTGATTATTCAATAGGCAGAAGGCCAGATTTTGAACTTGGTAAAATGATTAAAAAGGTATGTCCAATTCTTTTCTTAATTTGAATTCTAAGACAAATCTTGTTCAGTTTATACTCTTGTCCTTTGAATAGCACTTAAACCCCAAGTAGTGGTGGGGGGTTTTTTGTTTTGGTCCAATCTTGCTCTTATTTGTATTATTTCACTGCCAGGGAAGTGAGATTTCTTTCTGGCTTTAAAAAAAGGTGACCAAAATGATTTCAGATTTCAATATATCAAATAGCAATTGAGCTGTTTACTAAATGCAAAGCATGTTGGGTTTTATAATAAAACTATCCCTTCCCTCCAAAAAATTTCAACTTAGATGCTAGTAAATTTCTATGAACAATCTTATTTTGCTCACTTTCGTGTTTCTGTTAATGGCAACACTCTTCTCAGTCACTCCAGGCTTAAAAACCTTGAATTTTTTATTCCCTGTCCCTCATATGGTCTGTTGCCAAGCCTTGTGTGTCAAGTTCATCTCTGTAGTTTTTGTTCACATTTGTGAGATTCAAAGACATGTTGAATTCTAACCACCACCACTGGGTTAGGGCCCTCCGTACTTTGCACCTGGCCTTCGGTCTGGTAACTTCTTCTGGCCTCTTTCCTGTGCCAGTCCGGCTCTGATACCACTTCTCTGCTCACAATTCTTCAGAGATTCTCTGGGCCTGTCAAAGTAAGTCCCAGTTCTTTATCTAAACACCCAAGGACCTTCTCAAGTCTCACCGTCCCAACCGGTCTTTATTCATGATCACTGAACCATGTAGCATGTCTACGTTCCATGCCTCGTGGGCAGCACAGTATGTTCCAGCCAGTGTTTGAGCACAGAGCTGTGCACCATCATCTGCCGTCCCTCTCCCCTCTGGGCCCTGTTCATGTCAGTCACTGACCCCAGCAATGTCCCCTCCATTCCCTCGATGACCTGCTAATCTCCCAGATAGAATGGCATCTTCCCTGTCCTCTTAACACCTACCTCACTTGAGTTGTTAGCAGAGTCACGTCTGTACCATCTTGCTCATCTCTGCACAGCCATGGCTCTAACCACATCACTTCACACAGGAGAAGTCCTAAGAGCCATGAGGTTAGTGGAGTTTAAAAACTCTGTCCAAGAACTCACCTGTAAAAGGAAACTATTAATATATCCCCCAGTGAGCTGAAGTATAGGTTTTTTCATCTTTTATCTCTTGATTATGATGCTGGTTACATGCATTAAAGTGTTAACATCCTTAAATGCAATATGTGTTAATAAAACTTTTCAAAGATTTTTTTTTCCAAGTTCAAGTGTGATGCCCATAAGAGAACCCTTTTCTTTTTCACTAGCAGGCAGAAAACGTTAAGCAGTGACAAAGTGAAAGATAATCATAGCATTGCCTCCATATTTCTTTAGGGTAGTAGTCTCTGGAGACAGGCATCCCATATTTCTTATTCCTTGATCAAAATTAATACAGGATATGTATTTTTTTCAAATTTTAACCTATTTTTAATTATGCCCAGAGTTACAACAATGCTCTCGAAAAACTCAGACTAAAGAAACCTGAAGAGGGAGAAGACGAAAAAAGGTAAGATGACTTAAATTTTTAACTTGCCATTTCAAACTGTATATTAGAAACTCCCAATGAGAGTAAGGTTTTGATTGCAAAACAATCACCATCCAATGTGCTGATTCTAAATACGGGTCAATACATCACCCAGTAGTACCTCCTAATTCTGAGTGCCTTGAGACTCTAAGCTAAGCTAATTAAAAATTAATATAACACATGCTATGCCACTCAGAAAAAGCTTTAACAGAAAGCTGGACAGAATACAGACCCCCTAAAAAGGTAGGAAAAAATTTTAGTCTACATTAAGTGCATTCACTTAGCTATCAAAATAAAAACATTTTTACACAAAATATTTAAGGATACCTTTATATCTACTGAATCATTTTGGTGTCAAAATGCTTCCAAAACCCAGGCCTCTGGCAGTGGGACATAATATAAACATTTTTTTTGTAGCTAGAGATGTGACACTCTGGAGAATTAATGACATTTTCCAAACGTTATCAGGAAGACCAAAAATGCAATTCAGATCCTTACTATAGAGCTGATCTTATTTAATGCTGGCATTTCTCTTTCTGCTGCCATATGTTTCTGATTTTTATTTTATATTCTTAGTGCGAAAAGCGGAGATTTAGTTGAGCGAGCCAGAAGAGAAGGCTTTGATGAAAATGTAAGATTTTAACTTTCTCATAAAGATAGCTTTATTAGAAATATGCCTACGAAAGGGTTCAGATTAAGAAGTGAAATGATTTGCTTTCTTTAGAGCACTGGTTTCCACCTCCAAAAATTTCTCCCAGAATCCAGCTATTTTGTTGTTTAAACAAGTCATTTCAATCCTACATGCTACCTCTCTTATTGTTGCACTCAGCCAGATGCCCTGATGCTCCAGCTGTAGTCTCTGTGGGATTGTCACACAGGGGTTAGTGATATGCTCTACTGACATGATCATGTAATTTTTCTCTTGTAATCAGTGTGATGAATCACTTCAATGGTTTATACAATTGACCCTTGGACAATGAAAAGGTTATATTTACAGTACCATAAACAAAATCCCTATGTACGTGGACCCACGTAGTTCAAACCTGTGTTGTTCAAGAACCATGTTGTTGAACAACAGTTGGAACTTCGCAGGTCCAGTTATATGTGGGTCTTTTTTTTTTTTAATAAATACAGTGCAGTATTTACTGTAAATGTATTTTCTCTGCCTTATGATTTTATCAGTAACATTTTTTCTCTAGCTTACTTTATTGTAACAATACAGTATATAATACATATAATATACAGAATATGTTTTAATCGACTGTTTATGGTATTGGTAAGTCTTCAATCAACAGTAGGCTATTAGCTGTTAAGTTTTTAGGGAGTCAAAAGTTACACACACATTTCTGACTGCACAAGGGTTGGCACCCCCTAGCCCCTGTGTTGTTCAGGGTCAGCTATACATGGAGTGGAGCTAAGTTTCTCACGGTGAGGTAGGGGAGTTACAAAAAGGAAAGGTTGAAGGTTAAAATGAACTTTGTGGTGTTGGATTAGAATTGTAGATGTGTATATGTGTGTTTGTGTGTGTGTATGTATTCTATAGCTCTGTCTATCCACTGAGAAGTCTAGAAGTAATAAGAGTTAGTTGCCCACACCTTGGTTTCCAAATACCATTCTCTTCTAAAAGGAATCAGGGCCCCTTGGAGATATAGCTAAATTCCAGGGCTGGAAAATACAACATGAGTCTGGAATATCTTGTTGAGCCAGAAAGTAAAAGTGCTCAAAGAATGATGATCTGTTAAAAGGACACAAGAGTCAAGGTCGAGGGCTCCCGCTAGCCAAATCTGGGAATACTGAAGTACTTTAATGAATAATAATGTGTAACCCATTGAATAACATAGGATTCCATGAGTTCATACTGACCTGAACATATACATGGATAAAAGTTGGAGGAAGAGTAGAACTTTTCCATACCTCTCCATAAAATGCATATTAATTACAAAAAGAAAAGGAGTTATGTCAGGGTGGAGGAATCTGGCAGACGTTGCCTAATCAGTATGGGAAAAAACTGAAATCATATGCCAGCTGATAAGATGCTAAGAGAAGGGCGCCTGGGTGGCTAAGTTGGTTAAGCGACTGCCTTCAGCTCAGGTCATGATCCTGGAGTCCCGGGATCGAGTCCCACATCGGGCTTCCTGCTCAGCAGGAGTCTGCTTCTCCCTCTGACCCTCTTCCCTCTCGTGCTTTCTATCTCTCTCTCAAATAAATAAATAAAATCTTTTAAAAAAAAAAAAAAGATGCTAAGAGAACACAGCATCACTTCGGTAACACTCCTGCCAAAGATGTGTAACGGAACAAAGTATCACACAAAACTAAACTACTGAGGGACATTCTACAAAATAACTGGCTTGTATTCTTCAAAAGGATCAAGAAAGCCTAGGTAAAGCTGAGGAACTATACCAGACTGAATGAGATTAAAAGACGAGTAAATGAAATGCCTAATCCTGGACTCTAGATCCTTTTTCTATAAAGGGCATCATTGGGACAAGTGGCAAACTCTAATGGGGGACTCAGCATCAGAGGATAATGATCTATCAATATCAGTTTTCTGATTCTGATGGTTATGCTGTGATTATAATAACGGAGAATGTCCTTGTATGCAGCAGATATACACTGACATGTTCAGGGACAATGGGACAATTGTGCTGGTAACTCCAAATACTTCAAAGGAAAAAAAAAGTATTTGTACTGTTCTTCTAAGTTTTCTACAAGTTTAAGATTCTTTTAAAAACAAAATTAAAATTCAGTAAACCATTTCTGAAATAAAGGATGATGTAATTGAAAAACATACTGTGTACATAGGGGAAATCACCTAGAATGAACATGATACTCATCCAAGTAAAATATGGACTTACAAGAAAAAGAAAACCAGGTTAGCATGACAACATTCAACACCATAAATCAACAGAAAAATACTTACAAATTATGCAAGGAAAGAAGATGTAAGCCAAGCATATTTATATCCAGCAGACTTGTGCTGCAAGTTTGTAAAGGCTCAAATAGTTTTGAACGCGCAAGAACCCAGAGATTACTGTTGTATCCCCAAGGATTCTATGAGAATGATTAGAGAAATTTTGAAAAAAGGAAGAGGGCAGAGGGAAGATACAAAGTAGAAAAAGTTGACTGGTTTGAAAATATAGCTAAAAGTTAAAGAATTATCATTTAGAGTTAATAATCAGTAGGAGTAAATTTTAGCATATTTAATAATACAATAATAAATAATAAATTGTTTCAATGATTTTAAAACACATTTTCTTTTCACATTTTAACATTTGTTAAAATCAAGATGTGCCTGTGGTTAACAGGGTGTCATACGGTAATTGGCAGGATTTCTTTCTTAAGTGGTCCATAAACAATGGTGTGTCTTACACTAGACTCTATCTCTCAGATACAATGAAACATAGTAATAAGACTAAATACATTGGGACGCCTGGGTGGCTCAGTCGGTTAAGCATCTGCCTTCAGCTCAGGTCATGATCTCAGGGTCCTGGGATCGAGTTCCACATCGGGCTCCCTGCTCGGCAGGAAGTCTGCTTCTCCCTCTCCCTCTGCTGATCCCCCCGCTTGTGCTTTCTCTCTGACAAATAAATAAAATCTTTAAAAAAAGACTATAGTTGGGTAATGGAGAGGAAGATGAGGAGCAGGAAAAAACTACAAGCTCATTTTCTTGTTGAACAAGGGTCATTGTTTCTTTGTTGAGGGAACCAAAGTAAGAAGAGAGGACCCAAGTTGCATAAAAGGATCCATGAACAAAAGCAAACCACTAAAACAAAAATATATACCATCCTAAGGGCAGAAGAACCAAAACAAAAACAAAAAACAAAATATGCCATGTGGTAAAAAAAATTTAAAACACACCATAAAACAGTGTAACTGTGACCAGTTATGTCTGACATATCAGTAGAAGCAACTACACTTAATTTACTTAAAAAGAAAAAATTTCAGATTGAATCACAAAGCAACACCCAGTTCTATGCTATATCCTAAAGTACATACCTAAAACAAAGTGATTCAGAAAAGTTCACTATAAAAGCATGAGCAAAGGTGTAAACAGGTGAGCAAAAGACACTTAGAGGACACAAGTGAGTAAGGTAGAATTCTGGACCTACAGCTCTGATAAAATAAAAAATGAATAAAAAATTTAAAAAAAAGGGCGCCTGGGTGGCTCGGTTGGTTAAGCGACTGCCTTCCGCTCAGGTCATGATCCTGGAGTCCCGGGATCGAGTCCCGCATCAGGCTCCCTGCTCGGCGGGGAGTCTGCTTCTCCCTCTGACCCTCCCTCCTCTCATGCTGTCTCTCGGTCACTCTCTCTCTCTCAAATAAATAAAATCTTTAAAAATAAAATAAAAAATAAATAAAAAATAGACCTACAGCTCTGAATGAGATGAAGGGCACTTTATAGTGCTAACATCAACTTTAATAGTTCTGATTATCTATGCACCAAATAATACAGCATCAAATTCCATCAAGTATGGCCTACTAAACTTATAAAATGAGAAATAGACAGGAACACTAAAAAGAGAGATCAGGAAAAATAAAAGGATAAGAACTACAAAACAATATAATGAATACAGTGATCTTATAGTTACGTATTTAACTTTGTACTCTCAGAAGATCGATCTGCTTTTCAAAAACCCATTCATAACAAATGATCATATAGGGGCACCTGGGTGGCTCAGTTAAGCATCTGCCTTCAGCTCAGATCATGATCCCAGGGTCCTGGGATTGAGCCCCACATCAGGCTCCCTCTGCCCCACCCCCCACCCTCACTCGTCCTCTCTATCTCAAATAAATAAATAAAATCTTTAAAAAACAATGATCATCTATTGGGCGACAAAGAAACTCAATCAATTCCAAAAATTGGTTAATATAGGAAAAATTATTTAAAAGCAACGTAGTAAAAATGTTTTAACAAAATCAGAAAAAAAAAAGGTTATTTAACCAAGACTTTAAATTATTAAATAATTCTTGGGGTGCCTGGGTGGTTCAGATGGTTAAGTACTGGACTCTTGATTTCCACTGGGGTCATGATCTCAGGGAGGTGAGACTGAGTCCCTTCTGAGAGTCCACACTCAATGGGGAGTCTGCTTCTCTCCCTCTTCCTCTGCACCCCGCCCCCCGCGCTGCCCCACTCACGCTTGCATGCACTCTCTCTAAAAATAAATAAAATCCTTGGGGCACCTGGGTGGCTCAGTCAGTTAAGTATCCCACTCTTGATTTCAGCTCAGATCATGATCTCAGTGTTGTGAGATCAAGCCCTGCATGAGGCTCCACGTTCAGTACAGAGTCTGCTTGAGATTCTCTCCCTCTGCCCCTCCCCGCAACTTGCATTCTCTCTTTCCTTCTAAGTAAATAAATACTTAAAAATAAATAAAATCTTTAAAAACTATTAAACGATTTTTGAATCAAATAGGAAATACAAAATGAAATTGCAGAATTCTTATAAAAAAACAATAAAAACACTTATAGAGCAGAATCTATGAGATAAGGTCAAATGCCAGAGGGAAATCAACAGACTTAAATTTATCAATAAAAATCAAGACTGAAAAACTGTATGTAACTCAAAAAGTTAGAAAAGAACAATAAATAGAAAAAACAGAAATAAGAAATAAAAACAAAAACAATTAACGA